GACCCGGCGCTCCTGGAGCTGGCTGGGGTGGCGCGCCGGGGCCCGGGGTTGGGGTTGGCCTCAATCCCGGCGCCGGGGTCGGTTTCGGTCTCACAGGCACGGTTGGCAGAGGCGCATCCGGCTCGGGAGTGTCGGGCTCCGGTGTAGAAGACACGGGTGCGCCTGGGGTGGGCGGGGCCGGGCCGGGCGTTGGCGTCGGCCCGGGGCCCGGAGCTGGGAACGGTGCTCCCGGCTTCGGGTAGTCGTAGCCCTCGTCGTCGTCGGCGGGCACGCTGCCGGGCGCCACGGCGCCGCCCTCGGTGGGCCTCGGGTAGATGTACCCGTTCGAGTCCTGGCGCTTGTGCCGGTGGTAGACGACGGGGCGGTGCTTGGGGCGCGGCGGTCCGCGGTACATTAGCGGCGCCCGGCTGTCCATGAGGATGACGGAGCCCCGTGGAGGCTCCACCAGTAGCACGTCCGACGGCCTGCGGTGGCCGTGGGGTATATCCAAGGACTCGCGGAAGGGCCGCGTATCAAAATCTGACTCCCCGACCCCGACGATGTCGAGGTCCTGCTCCTCGAGCTTGGGCTTGCTCCGATGTTTGTTTGTTTTCTTCTTGTTCTTCTTCGAGCCTTTTACGGGTCTCTCTGTCGCCTCCGAGCCTGTCTCTGGTTTGCTGTTGATCAGAGTGTCCGGTACGGCGCCTTGGGCGCGCATGGCGTCCGCCTGCATGTGGAGCGCCGTCAGGATGGCGTGCGCCGCGAAGTTGTTGTGCTCCTCCTCCCGCTGCCGCTGGGCCACCGCCGCCACGAGGGTCTCCATGCTGGGCTGCACCGTGTACGCCAGGCCCTGGGGCATGATCTGCGGCACTAGCTGCGGCACCTGTTGTGGCACCTGCTGCGGCACCTGCGTCGCGGGCTGCGGTATGCTGACGACCACACTATGGGTCGGCTGGTGCTGGGTGCCGGCGTAAGGTGCTGACTGCGGCGCTCGTACCACTAGCCCACTGTGATATCTGACGGCGTACGGCTGGTCGCTCGAGCCCATCACGCTCTGGTCGTCGTCGGCGAGCGTGCCCTTCGAAAGGATCTCCTCGGATTTGGCGAACTGGGGGAACTTGGCTGGCCCCAGACCGCGTAGCGTGTCCTGCTGGAGGCTTCCATACGGCTGAGAGCGCATTGGCAAGCTAAACGCGGTGGTCTCAGGTCGGCTGCCCTGGCGGAAAGCAAACATTGGGTTCGGGTAACGATAGTCGCCGACGGCGGGGTCAACCTTTGGATCATCCGGCATTACATCAGGTATGGGGTTGTAGTTAAGGTATGATTCAGTGACGACGCCCTCAGAATTCTGCGGCTCGTATCGATCGGCGTCGTCATCCCGCAACTCGGATCGTGATGAGATAGTGGGCAGCAGCGATGACGGCTGTTCTGGCCTTGCGTAGTCGAAGTCGAGGCCGTGGCCATCGCTGTCAGGGTCAGCCGCCAGCAAGGTCGTCCTGGTGCGGCCCGCCGAGCTGGTGAGGCCGGTGGGCCGGCGGGAGTACTCCACGCTCTGCCGAGGCCTCTGCTGCTTACTTGCTGGTCGCTCGCAGAGAAACATATGGGCCGGGTCATCACAGATACTCCGCTCTGGATCCGCGAGGTCAGGCCGAGGCCGTGTCGGAGGCAAGGCCATGACTGGCCTGCGGCTGGCGGTGAACGCCGGGCGGCTGGTGGTGGTCGTGGGAACGTCGTCGGCAAACATCGTGGAGGGGAAGAGGATGGCCTCGTCCTCAAATGAGGCGTTTTCATCCAAACCCATTGCCGACGTAGTGTCTGAGAGTCCTGAGAAGGGCCTCTGTGTCGTCGGAACCGTCGACCGGGTGTCAAGGACTGGTGAAGAGGCGGACTTTCTTGACTTGGGGGTGATGACGACATCCTCGAACTGCCTTTGTGGTTCAACAGGAGAAACTGTTCTGTCATTTTCCGGTAAAAAGAAATTTGAGTAGATGACGGTGGGCTGCTTGGGCTTCCCCAGCCTGGCCATTGTCACTGGCAGCGCGCGCCGCGTCGTCGTCCGGGGTGCCTCCGTCGTGGTGGTCGTAGTAGTGGTGGTGGTCGTCGACGCCTTCTCCACGGGAGCACCTCTGTGCCGCTGCTGGCCCCGCTGAGGCCGTCTCCTGACCGAGGCCACACACAGGTAGCTGTTGGGCGACAGCCGGCAGGGGTCCCGGTGATCGTCGGCCTGGAGGTGCCGCTGGTCGAGCTCGTCGTTGTCATCCGGAGCTGTCGTCGTAGTGGATGTCGTCGGCCTCTGCCGGCGGTAGAGACTGCCGCGCTGGTCCACCTTGGGCTTTGTGCGGGCGGGCTGGCGCTGCGTGTCCGTCAGCGTAAAGCCGTCCACGTCGACGTCCACCTCCTCGTCCGCAGAGGAGGCCGGACCGCCCTGCTGCTCGGGCAGGTCGTTGGACACGTGCTGGAGAGGACGCGCCGAGTAAAGTCCTGGGCGCGGCGTGAACGGCGTCCTGGTCGTGGCCCGGAGTCTGTCGCCGTACGTCGTGCGCTGCGCCCCCGCGATCAGGATGGGGGCCAGGGCGGCCATCGCCAGGATGCAAGTCAAGCGGCCCTGCGGACAGACAGAGAAGACCAGCGGCCGTTTATCGATCGGGTGGTGGTATGGCACAACGAGATCACTCAGACCGGTTGGCAGAATGGATCTGCCCCGCCCCGCCCCGCCCCGCCTGTCTGGCGTCCATCACGCCCAGCTCAGTGACAGCCGGCAGCCTACTTCGCCTCCTTTACAACCTGGCTCTCCTTGTGCCTGCCCGTCGCGCTGCTCGTCATGACCTACGACACGGCCGACATCGTCTCCGACGCCGTAAAACGCTGACACCCGCTTACACGCAGCTCCTCTACACAGGACGCTTTGTTTTACTCACGCCTTGCCTCGCGCGCTGGAAAGGTCGCCAACGGCTTGTTTGAGCTTCTAGCTAACTTCATTGATGGGGCCAGAGGTTATTGCGATTGCAAGCGCTTCCCCTCTGACGACTGATGCGCTGTTGAGGTTTTGATGCGCACGCGCGCTCTTAAACGGCGATCGTACATAAATCCCACCAAACAAGACGAGCGGACCGGCTAAGTGAGGAAATAATACAGTAACGGTGTGACGCCGTGACTACTCCCACCCTCCCACGTGCGGGTTTGCCGACTCTCTTCGCTTGTAAGGCGCCATAGCACCTACGAGCTGAGCGAGGGTGCAATCTGGAGCACACGCGAAGAAACAGGCGGTACAGTGACCGTAACGTTTTCGCTTTTCGTCGGAAAACACCCTCTGGCGCCTCAGAGGTGCGAGACACATAGCGGGCGAATTTAACTCGACGAGTTGCCCCTCTGACGAGCAAACTTTAATGTTTCGAAACCAGATCGATTGTAAGCCCACTTTTGCGTTTTCCGAGCAGTAGAGGGCCGGTTAAAGAAGAGCACAAATATTGGATTCTCCGTAATTTAATTTGGTCCCCACCTTGTTTGTGAATGAGGCGCTCTCTCGAACCACCGCTGCCTCCCTCACCGCATCCCCCGGCTTCGCTCCTCTCCACGAAGCCCTCCTCACCCTCCCGCCGGACTCCAAAACGAGAGGCTCTACTGGCCCGACCCGGCGCGCCCGGCGGCAGCACAGCACTTGCTTGAGTTATAAAAATTCTGTAGCGAGGGCGACGGGGGCCTCGACGGTGAGGAGGATGAGGGGTGGGGCAGGCCGGGCGGGGCGGGGCAGTCCAATAAAAAAACTTTGGGGGCTGAGCAGCAGAAAAGCGGACGGGCGATTTGGCTGGGCCGTACAGTGCGGGCGCACAGCCGGCTGGACCGTGCCCCTCCCCCTTCACTAAAAACCCCTTCCTCTTTTCTCATGAGACTCCGGGTGGGGCGGGGCGGGAAGGCTGCGGCCGATGGCCGGGGTGGGTCCTGGCGGCTGAGCAGCAGAAAAGCGGACGGGCGATTTGG